ACACTGGTCAGGCTGCAGTTGGAGTACTGCATCCAGTTCTGGGGGCCGCACTTCAGGAGGGATGTGGACAGCATGGAGAGGGTCCAGAGGAGGGCCACTCGCATGATCAGGGGACAGCCAGGCAGGCCCTATGAGGAGAGGCTATGGGACCTGAACCTGTTCAGCCTCCACAAGAGAAGGCTGAGGGAGGGATTTAGTGACCTGTTACAAACTAGTCAGAGTGGACCAGCAGGCATTGGGGGAGTCCCTGTTCCTCCATGCACTACCAGGAGTGACTAGGAATAATGCTCACAAGCTGGCAGAGGGTAAATTCAGATTAGACATCAGGAGGCGCTACTTCACTGTCAGGGTGGCCAGGATCTGGAACCAGCTTTCAAGGGAAGTGGTGCTGGCTCCAACCCTGCGGGTCTATAAGAGGAGGCTAGATGAACACCTTGCTGGGGTTGTTTGACCCCAGTACTCTTCCCTGCCATGGCAGGGGGTTGGACTTGATGATCTGCTCAGGTCCCTTCCGACCCTACCAACTATGAAACTATAATCCTACTGCTCAGATATAGACAATGCCAATCCATGCAAAATGCCAAGGCACTTCAGCTGTAAATTTAATCCAAGCGTTGAAGTTAAAACCAAGCTATATAATAAAGATCAAATAAATCAAGGTAAAACATGTTTTGGAATACAGTCACTTCAAATTAAAGGACTTTCAGATTAGTCCATTCCGGGTTCTGTGACAGTCCTGATGCCCCAGAAGCCAATACAATTGATTTGCATGTTTTAAATTTTAAATTAGTTGTCTGAGCAAGAGATTTATGTAATATCATAATGGTTAAAGATTCCATTTGTTTCTGCAAAAGTGCTCTTATTTTAGGACAGCAGCCATTTTTCTTCTGTAGTGTTGCAATTTTAGCTATGTGGGTATAAATCAATACCCTTGTCTCCCATACAAACTCAATCACTGACGTAAGTGGCAATTACAGCATTAGCTCTAGTTTGGGAAGTGAAATAAGCCAAAAGTCAGAACAGTGTTTGAGCATGGACACAAGCAAGTTACCAAAAGGTAATGGGGAGAGGGAACAGGGAGCCAGGAAATCTGCCAAATCTGCCGCTTTGCAAAAACTGCTTGTGGGCACACTACTACCCCACAGTTAATGGGAACTGCCTGGCCTGCCCTTTCATGAAAAAGACGACTCCAATACTGTACATTAATTTTTTTTTTTTTTTTTTTTTTTTT